TTGCCTATAACCTCAAACTTCAATTTTTTGCTTTCATCCAAATAATTTCATTGTTTAGAATATGGTAAACATACATTAATAAGGTAAACATACATTAATACTAACAACACTGTTACCTAAGAATTTATTTTTTAAAAAGGTACTTACTGCTAACAAAGTATGTAAATCATTTCTCTTGAAAGAGTCAGAAGTAAGGCTCTTAATATAACCTAATTAAGGGACAAGGAGACCATAGGTCATTCCTATTCTTCTCCTACCTTCCAAAACACTCTTAGCTTAATAGTACCAAATTTGGTTTATTATTCAGGCCAATCCCAGTTTAAGGTCACTTAAATCTGGCTCTTACATCACATATAGCTAAGTCAGGGGTAGGAACTGATCAAAACGTGTTAAAAAGAGGACATTATTTGTTTGGTTAAATCACTGAGGCAGGGTCCCTACAGAGACTAGGCCATACATTCAAAACTGTATTTAAAGATGAGTCTCAGGGCTGGCCCCATGGCTCACTCGGGAGAGTGCGGCGCTGGGAGCGCCGAGGCCGCAGGTTTGGATCCTATATAGGGATGGCCGGTGTGCTCACTGGCTGAGCGTGGTGTGGACGACACCATGCTGAGGGTTGCAATCCCCTTACTGGTCAAAAACAAAGATGAGTCCCATAATCATGCAGAGGCATGTCACCAACGTGCTCACTAGCATCCAAGAAGGTAGGATGCTGTGAGACAAGGTATACAGAGGTGGCAGGCAAAAGAGATGCCTGGCATGGTTATACTGCCATGGTAGATATTGGTTACACTGAGCAAATAAGTAAATACACAGAGCATAACAAGAGCCACTGTTGGAGAAAGTATTCACAAACATGGAGAGGAAAAGGCTAGAGAAAACCCTGTGGTATATAGCAGTGGAATTGGAAGTTTTGGTATGAACTCATGGCTGTTTAATATATATACAGTCATGTGCCCTATAATGACTTTTTGGTCAATGATGGACTGCATATATGATGAAAGTCCCATAAGATTATAATACAGTATTGTTTCTGTATTTTTTTTCTATGTTTAGATACACAAATACTTACCATTGTGTTACAACTGCCCACAGTATCTAGTACCGTAACATGCTATACAGGTTTGTAACCTAGGAGCAGTAGGCTATATACCATATAATACAGGTGTGTAGTAGACTATACTATCTAGATTTGTGAAAATATACTCTATGATGTTCGCACGATGAGACAAAATCACCTAATGATGCATTTTTTTTTTTGTCCTTTTTGAGACCGGCCGCACCGCGCTCAGCCAGTGAGCGCACCGGTCATCCCTACATAGGATCCGAACCCGCGGCGGGAGCACTGCCGCGCTCCCAGCGCCGCACTCTCCCGAGTGCACCACGGGCTCGGCCCGTAATGATGCATTTCTCAGAATGCATCCCCATCATTAAGTGACACATGACTGTAGATAGTTATAGATGTACATGTATTTATAATAAATACATACATATATGCATCTCCTAGCTCTGTCTGATGAGAGGCTCTAAAAGCAATGATACTTCAGTAGTAATGAATATAGTGAGTACCTAGATCTTGATTTATAAATGATGATAGTATTTATAGCATCCACTAGAAAGATCCAGGGCTTTCTGGAGAAACGGCTGATTACACTGTGAGCAGGAAAAGGTTCACAATGAGCTTTATTATTTGCCAGATAATAAGGAAGTGCTCAAAAAATGATGGGGATGTGTCAAAAAGCATACAGGAGTCAGCTTGAAGAGGGTCCCACTGGACAAATCTGGGACAATATGAGCATCAGAATACTGATGGTAAGGGAATATATAACACAAGTCTATAGTAATATAAATAACTTAATGGGGGAGAAGAAAAAGCTCATTCTTAAAGAATAACAGCTAATAGATGTAGAAAAAATTATAGAAATACAATATCACCATTTCAAGAAGGAGTAGTCAATGGAAATAAAGACTGGTAGATAGAGGTTTGCACCTGATAGATACTATCTCAGAACATCTCTCTACCAAATACTTATCAATTATAAAACATAAACTGGTGACTTTACAGTGGAGAAACCCGACAGCCAGATACCAATATGACCAGGTTGTGAAGGTTAACTTCACCAGTGGTGAGACAGGCTGACATCATGTACTGGCAACGTGACGCGCTGAGAAGAACACATCGTTTCTGTGGAATTCCTGACAGGAAAGCACAATGTGAGTCTGGTCATGAGGAAACACTGGAAAGATCCAAGTGGAGGGTCATACTACAGGATATAAGACATACATTCTTTAAAACTGCTAAGAATAAGAACAAAAGGGAAAGACTGAGGAACTAGAGCAGACTGAAGTGATATGACAACTAAATGCAACTGTGTTCCTAGATGAGATTATGGACCAGAAATGAAAGAGAGATATTGTTGAGACAGCTGATGAAAATCTAAATAGGGTCTTTGGGATGAATGGTTTTATTTTAGCAATTTTTAATTCCTAAATTGAAGGATTCTAAGGTATTTATGTGAGAGTGTTCTTGTTTTTAGGAAATACACAATGGAAGATTTAGGAGCAATGAGGCATCACATTTGCAGATTGCTCTTAAAAGGTTCAGAAAAAGACTGATGATAATGGAGCAAATGCAGAGAAATAGTAACAGTTGGGGAATCCGAGGCAGGGAACTCTCTGTATTGTTCTTGCAACTTTTCTGTAAGTTTAAAATTATTTAGAAATATATTATTATAAAACATAAATGGTTCAGAAAAAGACTGATGATAATGGAGCAAATGCAGAGAAATAGTAACAGTTGGGGAATCCGAGGCAGGGAGCTCTCTGTACTGTTCTTGCAACTTTTCTGTAAGTTTAAAATTATTTAGAAATATATTATTATAAAACATAAGTGACCACAAAAAGATAAAATGAATTAAAATGAAAAAGTACATGCATTAGCCTATGGCAGTCCATCCATAAAATAACTGATGAGTGTAAACTAGACACAAAGCTTACACTCATCAATTTAGGAAAAGAAAGAAAGAGCACTGAGGAACAGGCTGACTCCCTAGGAAGAGCAGATATGACAACAGACTGAGATTATCTCTCTGATTTATCTCCTTCCTACTATTAAATAAACTGCTTCATTTGCAATTAATAATGACACACTTATTTTGCAACCAAGATGAGTTTGAAAACAAACATTTATGCATTTATTCCTCTCTTTCAAGTATAATCACTCTATTTTACATCCAGAGGTCTTTAAAGAGACAAAGAGGAGGGGAAAGGCTAGGAAAAAGGGAGGATTTAGAGAAGGGAAAACAAGTATGGGAATGAATAGTCAGACTCTACAATTGTCTAAGGCTTTTGATTTACCTCATTTAGCCCTAATAAAACCCTATCGCATTAACTCCATTTTCAGATAAGAAAAGTAGGGTTCAGAGAAGTCAATGCCTATTTCAATGCCAGAGAGATCCAGCAAGGAATCTGCATCTTCACCAAGAATTCCTTATGCCTTTATGGCTGCCCTTAAATTTTGTTTTGTTTGTAAATACTGCTGTCTTTGATAAAATCAACTTCCATTATCAATATATTATAAAATAAATCTGAGAAGGAAAACTTTGACAAGTACATCGTAAAGTAATACCTTACCCACAATGATTATTAAATGGAAATAATTTATCGTTCATCATTAAAATGTGTAAAAACCAGCTTAGAAAAAGGCAAAGGAAGCAAGACATTCATTTAAATTAGATTCCAATATGTTAGTGACTTATCTTGCACTACTCATAAAGCAGTTCAAAGCCTTTATAAAGCAAGATGAAAGCTTTATTCTATTAGTAACTAGAATGATAAGTAAAAACACCCACCTTGATTACAATGTGTCCTTTCCTGGTTCCGCTCCGGTCTAGTTCACGGTGCTCATGCACCATAACAATTTCTCCCTCTTCCTCAACTTTATGGGTATTTTTTTCCACATGATTTAAAATTCTCCAATAATCCTGCTGGGCTATGCAGACAAACTGTTCAAGAATAACAGGGGACAATTAATGAACCTATAGTACATAAATATATCACTATGCACCAAGACAAAGCACAAAGGTAAGAAATCAAGTGGTGTCAGTTTTTATTTAATTCCTTTGATCCTAACAAAAATCAAGGTGAAACAATTCATACACGCAGAGACAAAAGAAGCCAAATCAGTTTGAATTCTGCTCTAAAAAGAGAAGTGAATATCTACTCTCAAAACTGACACTATGCAAAGAAAACATGAAGCAGGAGTAAGTTAAAAACAAACTCAGAATTTCCTATTTCTTCCCTTTATTTAAAGAAAAGTCTGAGCTGGCTAATATCAGACAGAAAATGTAACAAACCAGCATTATTTGGTACACTGTCTTTTAAAAATTTATAATTTGCTCAATTCCACAAATATTTCAGGCAGATGTAAAATCTAGTTTCCTTTATCAATTATGAGTTTCTGAAATTCCTAATTCTCAAATAAAGCTACCTTATTTTGAGGAAGAAAAAACAGGCTCGGCCATTTTAAATCAACAAACAAGCAAGAGTACTTGATCAAAGAGATCAGCTTACCTGACAATCATCTACTTTAGTCCTGACAACTCCATGCATGTGCTGCTTATCCAGAGTGGGAGTAATTCCAAAACTATTTCCCATAAAGAGATTTTCGACTTTTCCATCAGGATGACTGATTTCTACAGTGCCATTTAAAATAACATACCATGAATCAAGCTATAGAAAAAAACAAAGATTTTAAGAATCTTTTTAAAAAGATAGTTATATGTTAATTTTGAAAAAGAATCTATCAATATATATAATTTGTATAATTTTAAAAAGAAGAAGATTTGGTTATGTTACTAAATACTCTGTAACACTCTATGTCCTTGTCTATGTGAACCATTAAAGTTTATTCTACTTTCTTCTTTTAGTCACCAAAGGAAATCAGTGACCTTCATACTTGACAAAATTCTCTGAGGCAAAATAGTGTAACGTTCATGCAAGATCACACTCTTTCAGAATCTTAATTCTGATACTGCCACTAATTAGCTGAGTGACTTTGGTCAAGTTATTTAACCTCTCTGGGCTCAATTTCCCTATTGCTAAAATGGCCATAATAACAGTATCACAGGACTACTATGTTAATTAAATGAATTAATACACACTAAGTGTCTAGAACAGTGCCTGGTACATAGTGAGCACTAAAAAAAAAAAAAAAAAAGATAGTGATTAATTCAGAAAGACCAGTAAAAGCCTGGATTTTAAGGCATACCTAACAGAATAAAATACTCAAAATTTCTCCTAATGTTAAGAAAACACTGCCTTCATTTATATGGAAGTATTTAATGCCCCAAGGAGATAAATTTTAAAGGTCTACTGTATATCAATGAAAGACCACTTATTTTCCTTTGACAACCAACTCCTATTATTAGTCTAAGCTTTAATGTGATTTAAGGGTAATCTAGATTGTCGGTTCTGAAAGGTAATCAGGGGCAACAAGAAATTTTTTTTTTTTTTTGTCTTTTGTCTTTTTCCGTGTCCGGCAACGGATCGCAACC